TTCTTCTTCTTCTCCTTCTCTTTCTTCTTCTCCTTACTGGTTCGGACTACTGTAGCAACAGTAGAAACAGATACCATCTAGAAGTAAAGAGGGGAAGGGAGAAGAAGAAACAGCAGAGAAAGAAGAATGAATATTTTCCAAGTGTCAGTGGTGGCTTCCAGACTGACTTATGTACTTGGGTTCTCAAAAAGATGTAAGAAATAACTAGAATGATCAGTCCTAACAACATTACCTTTATACCAAGTAATGACCCTCTAAAACATCCAAAAATTATAAATGAGATTTTATTTATTGAAAAAACTTCTGCCCCTTCTATGCTGAAACAAAAAGAGCCTTACAATGATCTTAATTCTTATAGACAGCTTTTCATTATGGTCATTTTGAGTCCTTTTTGTTAAACATGTAATTGAATTTCTTTCAGCATTCCCTGAAGTTTTATTGGTAGATTCTGTTTTTTCCTAATATTTACCCTATCCTACCCTAAATTTTCAAACTTCTTGGTGAAACTTCCCCATTCCTATATGACAAAATTTCTATAGATTTGATAGTCTTAAACTTCTCTTACATTTCTAAGTTGGGATTTGGTTTCAAAGTAACTGACGTTAGACAAGCAGATATAGATGGAGACTGGGATGAGGTATTTTTACATTTTTCCATTTCTTCTTTTACTTTTGCTTGTAAGGAGAACTAATAAAAATAAGAAAATTTTGTTTTATTACCAATCAAAAGAATATTTTAATACATCTTTTTGCTTTACCCCCGAAAGAACATGATATTGATGTAATTTCTTTAAAATTTATATTTGAAAACTTTGATTATATTTTGCATTTATATTTGCTGGTTTAATTACTGTTACTGTTGTAGGGTATAATAGGATTCATTTGTGGTTCCAAGGGACTTGATAGTTCAGGCCTTAGCTCTTCAGCTGCTGTAAGTTTATTTCTTCTTTACCTACCTGATTTCAATTTTAGCCTGCATGAATTTGATAGAAAACCAAATTATAATGCCTAGTAATATTTTTGATGTTTATGATAAAAATTGACTAAACTAAGAATTTTCTAAGTGATAACATAGAGACGTTGTATTAAAAATGTAAAAAAAAAAAAAAGCTTACAAGGATTACCCATAAGCCTGAAGATTGAACCAATAAAATGAATCTGATGCACCCCAATATCCCCAAAAAATGAATCCTTACACAAGGAAAATATGCAATGATTTTCTTATTGATAACTGTTCCAAAGTATTTTAATTTGTAAAAAAAAAAGAATGATGTTCAGCATAATATGTGTTCAATTCCACCCTTGAGATAGTTGTAATGATGTGCCTTGTTATTAGAAGAGGGGCAAACTTGTCTTCTTATCTATGTTTATGTCACCCTAATAAAGAGTGGGGGTTTTTCCAGTCCCATAACTCATGTCCAACTTGTCACATAACTCATTTTGTCACAGATAATGAAGTTCTTTAGTGAGAACATTAGCTAGTTGCTCATTGGAGCTGACATAAGTTGTACATACTTCACCCCTGTCAAGTTTCTCCCTGATGATTTGTCCACTTCAATGCACTTAGTCTCTATCATGCAAAATTGGTTTGCAGCTAAATTTATGGTTAATTTATTGTCACAATAATGTCATAGTGTCAATAAGATGAACAGTAGAGAGTCTAGCACCAGGTTTCAGGGGTGTCAATGAATAAATTCGACCCCCAGCCCTAAAGACCCTTTATTATATTATGAATATTTACAACTAAGCCCGTATGAGCTTAAAATAATTTACAAGAAAGCCCTTATAGGCCAATGGGATTACAAGAAAGCACTTATAGGACTGAAAGAGAAAAATTAAGTAATAAGAAATACAATACAGCAGGGGCTATAATATTAAAATACATCAATACTCTCCGCACATAGGACCTTCATCAAAGCCTAATTCTCCTAACAAAATTTTTATCCAAAGAACTCCAACCCCATGAGTCATGGCTCTATATTCAGCTTCAGTACTAGACCTTACAACACACTTTGTTTTTTTGCTTCTCCGAGTGACCCAATTTCCACCCACAAAGGTACAATACCTACTGTTGACAGATGTTGTTGTACACTGGTTTAGTACCGCAGGGGTATTTCTGTAATTTTTTCCATTCTTTATGTTGTACGACCAGTATAGTATAAATAACAACTGCTTCACTCGCCTGAAGCATTCTTTTGAGGAATTCAGTCCTCTCGCCTCTCCTCTCTTCTCTTCCTCTCTTCTCTTGTCCAACATGGTATCAGAGCGGGTTCGTCCAGGCCTGAAAACAAATTAGTTGAGATCATTCTCCAATGCCGAGTAGGTTGCCTCTTCATCTCCTAGAAGCTGTATCCCTGATGTTCGACTTCAAGAAGGAAGAAGGTGCCGGCATGACTGTTCAGCTTCCTAGCGCAGAAAAGAGTTCTGGTACAGAGTCTTTTCATCTTCCAGCCTAGATGCTGTTTTCTTTGATTGCTCGGCTGTAGAGAGGCTGTAACCTGATGTACGAAGAGGATGTTCTGGTTTGCTAAGAAGGTACTGTCCATCTACTGTTCGGGTGCCCTGGTATTCAACTAAGGTTGTTTTTGGTTGTTTTCTTCTTGCACCCTTCGATGGACTGTTGGTGCCCTAAAAAATCCGAATGTCGTGTTCTCCTCTTGTGTGTTACTACTGTTCGGCTACATTGTTGATGGACTGAAGTTGTTTTTTCTCCCATTGACTGTTCTTGCTGTTCGGCTACATTGTTGATCTCAGTGACTATTCGGCTACCCTGATGTTGGTGTCAGCCGATTAGGTGTGTGGTGAACTATCACCTTGTATCTTTTTTTCTACTAAGGAGTTGTATGAAAACTGTAAAACGGTAGGTCATACAGACCTGGTTATGTACTGCAATTGCAGTGTTTGTATGTTTGTTCTTTGGATTCCTACAAAATTGTAGGTCATACAGACTAGTCCAAGTGCTGCAGCAACAGTGTTTGTTCTTGGCTCTCTGTGAAACCGTAGGTCAGAAGTACCTAGTTGTATGCTGAAATAGCAAGTGTTTCTTCTTTTGTGGACTGAAGG